ATGAATATTACAAGATAGAAAATAATATTATTGTAAATTATTGAACATGAGTAGTCGTGATCAAAAGAATCTACAAAACACAAAGAATGGTATATAATTGGAACCTATATTTATACTATTCACAAGTCATATAAGAAAAGGGATTAATCTATGTGTACATAGGTGTACACATAGAGGTTGACATAATGTGAGTGGGGTAGGACCCACGATACTGTAGCGTAGGCCCCACCTCCACTCACATTATGTCATCCCCTATGTGTACACCCATGTACACATAGCACTTCCCTAAGAAAAGAGGTGTTGCTTTACTTGTTAAGTAGTATTATGTTGTTTATTACTCAGATAACTATACAAGTTATCAGTATGTTATTACACGATACAATCTCATCAACATATGATGGATTAATTTATGAAATTCGTATGATTTCCTGTAGTTTAACGATTCATTCCTATGACGAACTTTGAGTTATCAATTGGATTATATATATATATATATATATAACAAGAAAGTCTCTAGTCAAGGGCTTTCTACTTCTATCAAAGTGATATATAATTCTATTTAAAAGTCAGGATATGAGTAATCACTCAGATGAAAGAAACAAAACATATCTCAAAAAGGCATAAAAAAGACAGAGAAATGCAGGAGAAAAGGAATACTCACGTAACATTACTCCCATTACTTTAACAAAGTGAGAATTGATGGAGAAAATGAATACTCATGATATTAAATACAATGCATGCAATTTACTTAATATTTCAAAAATTCTTGTCAAAGAGACTCTATTTGTCGAAATTAAGTTAAATTTGACTAGGTTTCATTGGTTCAGTGTAGATAATTTTCGATATGACAATATGAACTAGATTCTAAAATTTGGTGATAAAAGCTTGAGAAATGCGACTTATAAAGGTCAAATTTGAACCTAAAAAGAAAAAGTCAGTAAAAATGACAATGTTCAACCTGCCTCCCTTCCAAATACAACCTCATTATTTTTAATTTTTAAATATTTTATACACCGAAGAGTTTGATCAGGTTGAAAAAAGGGAAAAGCTTAGCACGTTTTGCCTTCCGAATGCTCTTTTTTCTTCTTTGAGATCTACATAAGCAAGTGAGAGATGTAGGATCCTAAATAGAAAGGAGGGAATTAAAGAGGTAACTCACCAACATCAGATTTGGCTTAAGTAGTTGAGTTGCTGCTTCTACTATAACGATTGTCTACCTTAGATATAGCGATATTCGATTTTCTACAGTGGTTATTTTCACTTTACTTGCCTCGCTATTTCAATATTTCCAGTCTTTTGTATAAACTACGTACGCAACAGAAAATAATTGAAAACACATCCAACATTTTTAATATATTGTTTATTGCAAAACACTATCCTAATATTTTAAATAAATTTGTCAGTTATTATTCATAAGATAATTTTAAGCTGAGTTAGACGTGAAAAAAGAAAGAAAGAAAAATGCTTTGCCTATAAAATAATTGGACCTTGC